TTAATTAATTTATAGCCTCCTCTCCCGAAGACTGGCTCAGAGCAGAACTTCAGCACATGGTTGGAAACAGCAGAGCTTTAGTGGGAGTCAAGCACAGAACAGAATTGTTCTATCACAAAGAATGAGCTACATTATCACATCCCAAAATATTGTAATGAATAAAAGGGCAACAGCATTAAAGAGAAGAGATTGGATTTATACCCCGCTCTTCACTACCCAAAGGAGTCTCAGAGTGCTTTCCCTTCCCCTCCCCACAACAGACACTCTTGTGAGGTAGGTGGGGCTGAGAGAACTCTGAGAGAAACTGCTCTTTTTCAAAAACAGCTGTGCCAGAACTATAGCTTGCCCAAGGTCATCCAGGAACTATGGCTTGCTCAAGGTCATCCAGCCAGGTGCGAGTGGAGGAGTGGGGAATCAAACCCGGTTCTCCCAGATTAGCGTTCCCGCACTTAACCACTATGCCAAACTGGTCCTTCCTAAATCACATAAACACAGCACAACTGAGACACAGCAGTTTCCGTGACCTGTTGCTTTAAGAGGAGTGACAGATATCAAAATACACTTTTGTTGGAGGAGAAAAAAAATAGCAGGAAGGAGTTAAGAAGCTAACCTTAGGGGGAACGTTTTAATATATTTATGTCTATTTTATGTACCTATTTTATCCCCTTTGGTATCCTCTTGGTCAAGACTTCGGTCATATAGACCTGTAATAAATTGAATTGAACTGAATATCTTATTAAGTGAAATACCTACCCCGTCCCAATTCTGTAGTCAATCACTGGAGTATCTTTGAATCACACACACACCCCATACACAGAGAGAAACATACAAAAACAAGAGAGAAACATACAAAAATAAAATATATCACACTACTATTTTAACAAATTTTGATTTGTGAGTGTGTGCGCGTGCAAAAGAACAGGTAAAAGCTGGTTTTAGTGATCTTCAATATGTACCCCAAGAGAGACAGAGAGGGCTGAGAATTAAACAAGGAAGCTTTTGTAATTGGTGGAACTGAGTTGCACATCAAGACAACATTTAGAGACATTTTACACATTACAAAATTCATGCATACACAGGCCTTCCATGTGCCTACATACTACAAAATACACATAATGGGGAACCACTGCATCCACTAATCTACATATGATTTGCACACTCAAATTCTTATATGGGCTTTCCATGCTGGAATACAATATTCTTGAAACTCATGTAGAATCACTGCAAACAAAGCGACATTAATTAAAATTTCTCAAAAGAGACTGCCCAACAGAAAAGCAATTATAGTGGTTGTTACAGAAGAATGAGAAGGCAAAGTTGTGGAACTGTGGAGAAAACATCTCAAAACTTGATTTCAGTTGGAGGGCTTATTTTAATAATAAAAAAATACCAGAACTGTGGATGCCGATCCAAAAAAGTTCAAATTCTAACAAAAACAAGCAGAAACATGGGGCAAACTCACAGCCAACCTGGAAATCCAGTTCCTTAACACAGATTATTCAGTGACAGAGCAGGCCAGTCTTCACATGCCCAGGAGCCCTTTTTTTTCAGGTACCACTTTACACATTCCCGAGACTTCTGGTATTCAAGATAATTCCTGGAGCTTAACTACTAAACCCTGGGTAGGACCACACCACTGTGGAATCCCAAATAACCAGCGCTGCCCTTGACACACAGAGACCTGCAAACCTCAGGAGTTTCAGCTGTTCCTGGAGTAAAGAGGTTTAGAAAATGAAACGAACTGTGCAATCGGTTACACCTTCTTAAGTCACTGAAGCCAACGGATTTAGGAGGGTGCAACCCTGTTTAGGATTGCACTGCAAAACAAGAGAGAGAGAGCTCAGGGTAGAGCAATGCTCCCTCTAAGCTGTTTAGTCTTGTGAGCAAAGATTCTACTTTGTGAGCTTACTGGCATTAAAGTTGTGAGTGAACCATTTGGCTACTGCATAAATCAGTTTGCTCTGGAGCCCCATCCTTCCTGAGCTAAGACAAAACAGTGTGAGCCGGAAACATGCGGGGGACCTCACCAGCCACGGTCAATCCAGTGCCAGGGAAGGCACGGAACGTGGCGTCCGTAGAGCAGCCAATTGCATTCTTTCCCCCCAAAAAAACCAACTACATCCAAAGGAGCCTCAGCTCGCACCTGAGCGGATCAATCCCCATTTCTAGCCACGCACGCAGGCACGCGCGCACACACACACGTCCAGAGCGTGAGATACAAACTCCAGGCGCTTGTGCGGTGGCTTGATCCATAAAGTAAAAGGATCCGCCTCTCGCTGTGCGTCAAGGGTGCAGGCGCTCCCGGGAGCCGAGGCGGGTGGGCTGGCAAGCTGGGAGCCACTAGGTAGCATCCAAAGCAAACTTCGGGGGACGAAACTGGTTTGAGGGAGGCAGGGCGGAAAGAGCACACACACACACCCCTCCAGAGCACATAAAGGGGGAGGGAAGCGAGCAGATATTAATTTTTTTAAGTCTACAGGGAGTGTGCGTAGAGGGGATGATTTGTCAGGCGAGATCCCCAAAACTCAAGAGTGCAAAGGGCTCGCAGAAGAAGTAAAGCTGTGATAAGAACGGAGAGGGGAGGAAATAAGGACTCCTACCCAGCCCAGCCTCTCCCTCAGAAACTCGCCCCGGAATTCTCGCTCCCGGATGGGCGAGCTGCGTGGCTGGTGGGAGAGAAGGCATCTTCCCCCGGGTCCTCCACCGTCGGGCACGGCGGCGCTTCTGCTCCGGCAGCCTCCACGTTCACGGCCCTCCTCCTCCTCCTCACAGTCCTGCAGGCTGGCCGTGGTCCCGCAGAGCTCCGCCCCCGCCTCTTGCTCTCGACGGCTGGCTGGCTGCTCTTGGGCAAGCGGAGGGAAACGAGCCCTCCTCAGATGGCGCCGTGAAGCAGAGGGCAGTGTTTCACCATGTGACTGCGCCTCCCCCCAGAGCGTCTCTTCCGGAGCGACGTACCGGGCCGCTCCGGCAGGATGAGAGGCCTGGCAGTACCCCACTGCTTACTTCCTCAATTGTGAGAAATGTCAATTTATTCTGCTTCCTGTCATTTAACCAGTTTTTAGTCCATAAGACAAATGTCCTCTTATCCCATGATTGCTAAGTTTACTCAGGAGTCTTTGGTGAGGTACCTTGTTTAAATCCTTTTGAAAGTCCAAGTATATAATGTCTACTTGGTCACTGTAGTCTACATGCTTGTTCACTTTCTTAAAGAACTCCAAAAGGTTGGTGAGGTAAGACTGCCCTTTGCAGACGCCATGCTGACTTTCCATCAGCAGGTTTTGTTCCTCCATGTGCCTAACAATTCTATCTTTGATTACAGTTTCTACTAATTTGTATGGGACAGACGTTAGGCTGACTGGCCTGTAATTTCCTGGTTCCCCACTGGATCCCTTTTTAAAAACTGGTGTAACATTTGCTACTAGTAAAGCGGCTGAATTTAGTGAAAGGTTACATATACGGGTTAGTAGATTTTCTATCCACATCTGAGTTCTTAAGAACTCTCGGGTGTAGGCCATCAGGACTTGGAGACTTACTGGTTTTTAATTTCCCCATTATGTCTAGAACTTCATCTCTAGTCAACTCAATTTGGCTCAGTTCTTCAGACTCCCTTCCTGAAATAGGGGCTGTGGCATGGGTATGTGTTCCACACTTTCCACAGTGAATACAGAAGCAAAAAAGTCACTGAGATTCTGTTGTGTATTAAGATGGCCACTGCCGCGTGGGCCCGGCCATGCAGTCTTACAGACTTTCTGACCTTCGGTCCTAGAACAATAGCCAGATTGGATCCTAGCACGGATCAATACGTTCGTGCGGATCTGGATAGGAACCTATGGGGACTGAAGACTTGTAAATAGAACAAATCACGGGAAGCAGGGGGGTGTTGGATGTGAGAGTGGACACGCATATAAGCTGGCATCGGACTGGCTAGTTTATCTTTCGTTTTGTAATGTAATCCAATAAACGTGAGCTGATTTCACTATGCTACACCTGGAACTCCAGTACTTTTCAGATTCTTTGCCATCCCTTTATTCCTTTGTCATCCAAAGGCTTCTCTGGCTGGTTTCCAGTTTGGTGTAGTGGTTAAAGGCAGTGGACTCTAATCTGAAGAACAAGGTTTGATTCCTCACTTCTCTACTTGAAGCCAGCTGGGTGACCTTTGGTCAGTCACAGTTCTCTCAGCCCAAAAAAATATAGCTCACCGCAAAAGGAGCTGGAGTTTCAAGCTGCCAGACAATCTTCGGATCTCCTGGCTATACTATACCCACTACCATACGATAATTATAATTATTATTCCTACTCTGGATATATTTACAAAAATGTGTACTGCTTGTCTTGATGCTCTTATCAACCCACTCCTCAAAATCTCTTTTTGCCTGCTTAATTATTGACTTACATTTCTTTTGCCAGAGTCTGGGGTCCCTCCTGTTCAATTCATTGGGGCAGACCTTCTCCTTTTTTTGTACAATTCTACTGTTACTAGCTTTAATCCTGATAGTAAATAACCCAATTTATGGTTTTAAAATGATAAAAACTGAATATTTGGAGGGGGATTCCTACTTCTTACTCCAGACCTTCTCCTTTTTTTGTACAATTCTATTGTTACTAGCTTTAATCCTGATAGTAAATAACCCAATTTATGGTTTTAAAATGATAAAAACTGAATATTTGGAGGGGGATTCCTACTTCTTACTCCAAGTTATCTAAGAACTTCTCAGGATTATGTCATCCTTCTGACCTCCAGCCTAGGTTGCTCAATGAAAACTTGAAATACAGTTGCCAGGGACAAAGCCTCATTTGGCACGCTTGGTTCTTTAGATCATGTTTAGTATCTTTTAAATTGGAGCCACATCAACCATATAATCAGAAGGCTGAAAAGCACCTGGAGAGTAAAAAAAGGTCAGGTGCTTCCTCTGGATTAGAGTGCACTACAAGCAACCAGAATGATCATACAAGATGTTTGCCCAGTTCCAAGAATATTCTAATAGTTTAATAAATTGCTGACCAGAATTGTAGGCTACACTGAGTTTTTATGTAAGGCAATACAATAAAAGCTTGAAAAGCAATCTAACTTAGATGGCTCCGCTAAGCTTTCCCATGTAGTGCGTATCAAGATCATAAACAAATCACTGGCCAGTCTTACCAAAATACTTATTTCCTTCCCAGCACCAAATATGTCTGTTAGAACTTGAACTCTACAAACAGCAACTAGGATGTAGTCAAATTCTCCATTCCCTTATTTGTTAGCATATTTTTTAAGACTCCTGTTTTCCAGAAGGCATTATCACAATCTACACAACAATCTAAATTCTATTTTTGTTCTAGCAGAACGAGACTATTTTCTATCTCAGCAAGACAGACACAAATCTATATCCTATTAGACAATCATGCTGCATTTGTAAACAGGGCTTTATTCAACCCTACAAAATATAGATACCATAGCATAAGCTTTTAATATATTATAGCATAAGCTTCCTGGGCAAATAATTCCACCCCCCTAGGGGAGGGACTTGATATGGTAATATTTATAATGTTATAATTCTGTATACATTTCTATAATAATTCTATCAATTGCAATTTGTTGTGGCTAAAGTGAGGGTTTTTTTTTTTTGTTTTTTTGCAAATTATGGACAAGTGTTGGGGCTTCTCTACTATTTAAGTTGGTGAGAGCAGTTTGTTTGTATCTCATCTCAAGTGTATACTAGCATAGAGACAGAGTCTCCAGGTAAAATACTCTGCTTGGGGGCACAGTTAGAGCCAAAGCCTTTGTGGGATAGATTTGGCCTTCCCAGGCCTGAAATTGCATATCTCCACAGCAAAGACTACTCAGAGTTGGCACAATGCATGACAACCCATACTTTGGTTCTAATAACCACTACCTCACACTTTATGAACCGAAAGAACAGGTTATCACACCTTGTGTGGAGAAAAAAAGCAAGAAAAACATGCTTATGGGAAGGACAACGTATTACCAAGGTGTTACTGAGTTCTATCTCTAAAAAAATTCAACATCTGGACAAGAATTACACATCCAGTTTCTATGTATGTTATCTGCCAAACAATTAGTATGTGACAGTTCCACTTACCGGTTTGTCTTTAATTGTGGGGCTAGAAACACACAAGTAGAGTTTTCCATCCTCCTCAATACATGCATCAATCAAAGCTTGTACAGAGCTTTCATCTTGGAACAGCAAGAAGGCATACCCTATGTAACAAAACAGACAGCCTTGCAAAGTTTTTCAGACGTTACACATCCTACTTTGTTTACAAAAATGTATGCACCTAGACTCCACAGGACAACAAAGTGTGAAGAGTAAATCCTGGTAACACACTTGGAAGGGATGAAATCTCTTTGGAGAGGCAGTAGGAAAAAGTCAGATTTAAACAAATAGCTATTGTTAGAAAGTAACCAAAACAACCAAGGCATCCCTCATTTCTTGCCCAATAATTGAGCTTTATTTCAAAACAACTTCACTGGTGTGCTCCCTACACAGTACCTCCTGTAATTCATATTTTAAAAATTATTTCTTGTGCAGATCTTAAAAGGAGCAAGGAACAGAAGAGTCAAGATAAAAAAGTAAACAAGTTACTGAAAACAAGGGAAGTGAAAGAAGAATTTGAACTGTTTCTAAATAGGTCATGCTATCTAAAGCCCATGTACAGGATCTGCAGTACAATAGGACCTAATTGCAACAGTGTTAGCCGAATTGCTTTATTTACAGCAATTGGCAATTTATAAATAGGTCCTTGCCAACTATACCAAGGTCCTGTTCCCACCAAGGGTTACCAGAAAAGGATAACAAGGCTGCTGTTGTTAAAATAAATGTCTTTTATTTAAATAATATAAATCTCATGCAAACAATACTGATGCACTCACACATTCAATCAAGTTCCTTAGAAATACAGTATTAAAATAAGCACATTTGCATTAGCAGGTGGGGATGATGATGGGCAATACTTATCTGTCTTTGCAGCTTTGGTTATTCCAATGAAGAATGGAGGGGAAGAAATGGAAAACTAAGGGAATTCACACACAACCAGAACCAGCCAGAATGTGTGGGTCTCTTGACTGCAGATCAAGAGATCAAAGTAGAGGCAAGGGTTTGGGATAGCAAGTGGGACTTAAGAGGAGTAAAAAGCAGACAGGGGTTGTTGCGGGGGAGATGCTAGTTGATCAATTAGGAGAGAGAGAGAGACCATGTGACTGGTTCTCTTCTTTTATCGGGGGATCCAGGAGGTGGGTGGTGGCCGTGCCAATCTCCTGGCCCACCTCCCTGTTAGTCCGTCCCAAAAACAATCCTATTGGTTGCATGTAGGGAGGGGTGGTTACCTAGAGGGGTGGTCAATATTGTAATCTAAAACCTTACTCAAAGGAGGGCATCTGGGCAGGTGTGAAAACCTTGGCGTCAGGATGCTCCATTGTAGTGTTGATGAAGCTGGCCATTCCATTGTAAACCAAATGTCCATTTGGCAGGAAATACCAATGCAGGAACAAAGCAGTGATGTGTCATACGTGACGACAAATAATTCAGCAATGGGGGCTGTCTCTGCTCAAGTAGTTGTTTCTTACTGCTCACAATAATGGAGGTGTGTGCTTCTTCACCAGGTTGGTAACTGTGTAGCTAAAATCTTATTCACATGTGTAAGGCTTGTTCAGGCACCTTCTATGTGTAGTATCACAACAGGTGACTCAGTGTACAGTTCTCTAAGCCTATGTATGTGTGTGCACAGTCCATTGTGTGTAGCAATAAATATAGTTCATAAATCAAAATATCAAGTTCATTCTCTAACAACAGCAGCACTGAAGGAAAAGTTTCAGACAAAAATCAAGACCCCAAAATACTACATAGCCTTCAGCATGACTAAGTTCACCCTACACGGTACACTGAATAGATGGTTAAGACTTAGAAGACCTAGATTCATATCCACTCTCCACACCATGAAATTCCTTGAGTGACCTTGGGCAAATCCCCATCTCTCAACCTAGCATTCCAAGCTCTCCAGAGGAAGAACAGAACACAAAATGCAATAGATAAATCAATGTTACCTTTTGGAGGAAAATATGACTTGCTTTCAGCCTTGTGAGGCCAATCCACAATCAAAGGGCCAAAGCGACGAAAGCTAGCTGTGATCTCATCTGTGTGTGGGGGGGGGGACAAGCAGGAAAAGGTTTTCATGCACTCATCACAAAACTCCAAAACACAGAGATTTCAAATAATCTGCTAATACCTTGGGTCTAGTCTATAGATATGTTCTGCAGACCAAGACAGCTGACATTTTAACTGTTGAAAGAAGAAGCTTGACGTGTCAAAACATATGGTTAACAAAGAAAACAGTTCAGGTTATCAAAGCTGTCTCTTTTTTCAGGCAAATAAAGATTTTCCACAGCCCACTTGAAGGAATGAAATCAAAGACAGCTACCACATCCTAGCTTCAGGCATTCTCCCACAGATAGCATACAGAGCCTGAATCAGAGTGCTGATTGTAGCTTGCTCTGCAAGCTGCCTTGCAAAAGGGTAGAGAAAGAGAAAGGAATATCACATGATCTAATCATGCTCGCTCACATCACATGCATATGCCACATCTGCACACATTATCTGAGCTTGACCTCAGACTAACTTCAGCAGTACTTGCTGAAAGCAGTTATGTAATAGCTCAACAGAAAAGGATGCAGGCCATGTGCACACACTGCATTAGCCGGGAGTCTTTGCTGCAGCCATTTCAAAGCCTCCTTCCATTTCAAAATGCAGCTCAGGTGACTTGCACACCAGTTAATGCCACAAAAATTCAGCTACTGCTCAGCTTTTTTTAAAGGGCAGGATAGAATTCCTCCACTCAGGCTCATTTTTAAAGAGGTCAAGCCTAAACCTTTTCCAAGGATAGGAAAAATGTAGGACTTACATGCAGCATAGTATCAGGAGAATTTGAACATCCTTGATATACCCTCCCCCAACCGTTTCCTATTTTACTTAAATTCTCATGCCAGCCTCTGAAATGTTATATAGTTTTATAATGATTTGCTTTTCTCAAAGTGCTTGCAAGGCAGTGATCTTTTTTAAATATAGCCACATTTTTCTCAGGTTCCTTTATTTGCATGCAACAGAAGCACTCAAACTTGGGAAGACCAGTTTTTCTTTTTGTACAACACCACACCTGTATATTTAATAGGCAGGTAGCACATCGAGACCAAGTGCTGGATCCTTGAAAATCTGATACTTTTCCTAAATTGGGACGTGGTGTGTGAAAAGCTTACATAGATTCACTTACACAATTATCACAAGCATGATGATATAGCTAATCTCCAAAATAATGAGGAACTATGTACTACTTCATGATTGCTATTAAACCAGCAGAAATTTGTACCATATTTGGCTCCCTGTGAAATATAAATATACATGTTGTCTGGCTCGTACACCAATGGCAGAGTTGAAGTCCTTTGCAGAACTTCGCTCTCTCTCTCCTGTATTGCCACTGTCTGCATCACACACTTAAAATCATAGAGCATATGAGACATAAAGACATTCAGAAAGAGTTTTATGATATCATTCAAAGAAAGGCCTGGTTCAGACAAAATGTGAAATCATGGTTTGATTAAGCTAAGCATGGTTAAATTATCATATGGTTAGGTATAATACAGCCTGAACCCAGAATCTGAAATGGGCTTATTAACCGCAGTTCCTCTTAACTCTGTTTTCACCTTGCAACAAATGCAGTTGTTTCCCACCAACACTCTGTGACCATCCAAGCCACTGAGATGCCTGGCTAGAGCAGCTCAAAATCAATCTACCATCTCTTGCAAGCAGTTCCCTTGTCCCTTCCTATCTTAAAGGTGCAGGGACACCGCATGCTTCATTCTTACATGCAGTCATCAAAAAGAGAGAGAGAGGGAGTGTGTGTGTGTGTGTGTGTGTGGTTTTCCTGGGCAGGGGGGAGGAAGGCATCTCTCCCAGGCAAATGGGAATGCATGTTAGGGGGAGCTCTGTCTGTCCAATGACTGTTCTCCTATAATACATAGTTTTCTGAGCATGGGCAAAGAAGTTAAAAAGTAGACTGTCACCCGGCTGCAGCTTGACTCCATTTCATGGCAAGATTTTTTTGGAGTGGTGTGAGTCTGGCTGCTCTGATTTGTCTGTGCCTTGGATTAATTCTGCTGCCTGCTGCTGTCTGCCTGGAAAGACCCTCTTCTCGTTTCATGCCAGGACTGGTTTGCACTTTATTTAAAAATATTATTTCAAATATTATTCCATGTTTTTCTGAGTTTTTGCTTGGTAGGTTATAGTTGGCTAGGGGAGCTTTTAAAATAGTTCTTTTTAAAATAGTTTCTTTGGTTTATTTTGTGGTGTTTGGGGTTTTAAAGACTTATGCTGTTTTGCTGGGGTCTCTTCTCTGGGCTTGTTTTAGAATGTTTAATCAATCTGCATTTTAATTTTTAAAGGGTTTGTACTAGGGAGGGGGAGTGGTTTCCAGGTTCTTGCCAATTTTAAAAAGTTTATATGTTCGCATTCTTCTGGTTCTAGCTTTACAGTTGTTCTGTGAGGAAGGAAGAGGGAGAAAACTTTACTGCTTTCCCCACCACCTGCCCCTCTGGGCAGGGTACCCCCATGGCTACTCCCAAGATTGCCACAGAGATGGAGGCCATCAGGGAGACAGTCTGACCCCACAGGAATGCAAGGCATATTAGCCAGGCTTTGGCAGATGCAATGGTGAAGGACTACTTGTCTGAGCCACCAATCTGCTGAGCTACCTGGCTAGGGGGGGAAAGGGTCTGGCCAGATCTGTCTTTTGTGGCTCAGAGGCTCCTCTCATGCCCTCTGACAAGGGTGCAGAGAGAGCCTGTTTTCCCCCCAAGATGGGCAACATTGTCACCCTGCGCTGCTCACATTTGATCCCCTGGAGGGTAAAAAATTGGTCTTCCAGAAGGTCGACTTGCCAGCCGAGTCAGATGAGCATGTACTTGTGCCCGCATCCTCTCATTCAGTGCTGGGTAAAAACTCTCTTCCTGAAACTTAAAACTCAGATGTATTAACAAACAGCAGGGATGTTATTCAATTTGATTGGTGCTATATAAAATCCACAGTTCAAATTATGTTCTAACCCCCCCCCCCAAAAAAAAACCCTTCAATTGAATGCTAGTTGCTGTACAGTACAGGAGGATGTTGGGGCTTAGTACCTTTCAGCCCAATTCTGTACAGAAAAGTACAATGCGAAAAATGTTGTTTTTTCCACAAATATAATTGGAACAAGGGATGTCAGGGAAATAGACAAGACATGCAGAACCCACAGAAGCATCTAAAATGCAGAGAGAGGAGAACTTGGGTGCCCCAAACTCATTCCCTCTCACTTTCTGAGGCCTTTCACAGAGAAATGATGTTATTGTATCAGTGTCTTGCCAGGTCTGGTTGGCTGCCTTGGTTTATTGTCTTGACTTTGTTCGCATTGTTATTTATTTATTTATTTAAAACATTTTATGCCACCTTTCCACCCAATCATGGTCCCAAGGCCCATGGTTCTGCTGGGATACTCTGGTCTGATACTGGTTCTGTTGTGTTTGTTGGTTCTGTTTGCATTGGGAGGATTTTGACCAGTGGTTACTCTTGTGTGCTTGGCTATTGGCTTCTTTGTCCTAGAGAAAGCATAGAAACTATGGAGATGAGTAGGATGGCTGGGGGAGACCTTGTTCAGGGGTGTGTAATTCACTTGGAAGGTAAGGCACAACTAGGTTCCCTGCAGTTTTGATGTCATGTGTTTGCAGAACAGCCTCTCCAGAAAGAACTCAAATAATTCCAGGCTCCTGGAAAAAAAAACTTTGAACCTAAATTCCAGAACAGTATTGGAGGTCCCAAATACCACCAAATATCTATGCCTGTCCCAAAGTGCAAATCTGAAAAAGACTAATTTTTTTAGGGGCACACTGTTACAGCAAAGCAGGTCTGGGAGGTGGGTCATCCCCTTCCCCTGCTCTGAACCGCTACTACTGTGGTGCAAGGCTGGCTCTCCCATGCTGTGGTAGGGCAGGTCTGGGAAGTGCATTCCCCCCCATCACACTTGTACCATTTCCACTGGACTCCAACACAAAATGTTAATTTTGCAACCTGCCTCATATCCATGGGGGGCAACACAGAAGACATCCAACCCCCACAGCTGTGCCACTACCACCTGTTTGGACTTCAAGGCAGACTGCAGAGATATGGCTTCTACAGCCTGTCTGATCTTTTAGGGGCAGCACAGGAAGAGGGTACTTGGGGGGTAAAATGCCTTGAGCCATCAAAGCCTGTCACTTTTATCACCACCAGCAGTTTCCAATATGACAAGCTTCAGAGGTAGAGGAAGGATCACATGCACAGGTAAGGAAGTCACATGCTGCTTCTGTATCACCAGCTAAGTCAGGGAAGTGTGTTGACCTCCAGATCTCCCTTTCTACCAGCAGCATGCAAAGCAAACTTCCACCAATAGTAAGATTAAACCTTTGGGCGATTTCGCACTAGAGCTGCCTCGCGACGCAGCCGCCGTTTGCCCTGACACAAATATGTCAATTTCACATCCGAAGCTGCGGGGCTGCATTTTGAATCGCGGCTTCGCCCGATTTCCTCCGCAGTTTCGTGATCCTGGTTTTTGAGGATCACGAAACTGCGGAGGAAATCGGGCGAAGCCGCGGTCAAATGCAGCCCCGCAGCCTCGGGTGTGAAATTGACAAATAGCGTCGGGGCAAACAGCAGCTGCACCGCAAGGCAGCTCTACTGCGAAATCGCCCATTGTGTGAGGGGTGTGTGTGTGTGTGCGCTTAGTGTGTGGTCAAAGTTTTGTATGCTTATTGTTCAGTTTCATCAGGATGTTTTCAAACTTAATTTAAGGAAAGGAAAGTCTTCATGTCAGGGGAAAAGAAAAGGAGGTGTGGATTTATGGCCCTATGGTAATTCTGACTGATAAAAAGTAAACTGGTGACACATTTCAAGCTTTCCCTCACTCAGATATGCAGGTTGGGATAGCAACAGCATTTTTAAAGAGAGTGAGAAAGGTCAAAAACTTGGATTTTTCAAGGTTAATGATGATGGAGAGATCACCTGTGAACTGAAATTTAGTTTTACAAATGGATCATTATTCAACTAAAGTGTAATTTCACGTTATGTCTGACCCAGGCCAAAGATTATCGCATCAACTGTGCAGCTAATTGATCCCCACAGTTCATAACCAATTAGTTTGTGCATTTGGCTTGTCATTATTTAGGTAATAATTTTCACAGCCTTAAAAACCAAATACATTCAGAATATGAGAATGCTGAACATGCTCACTATTGCAGCCAAAAATCTGTATTTACACACACCACCTTCAGAGTATCTCAGTCATGTCTGACATTTGTTTATTGTGGGTATTTCTAGTTACATTGGTATACCTTCATCAATATCAGGTGGCAAGCCACCTACAAACACCTTGCGGGAGTATCGTTCCACTCGTTCGCCATTCTGGTGTGAGAAGCAGTGTGGTGATCCTAAGCCACTATGGAGGGTTTGATCCCCACGCCCATCATCCAGAAACCCATCTTCCATTGGGAACAGTGAAGACTGACCTAAAACAACAGCAAGGACAAAAGAATGCTACTACCATAAAACTGTTTTTATGGTATTTTTCTTATTCTGGTAGTCACATCTTCATAGAACAATTCATTAATTACAAAGATGCATAATGTTACCCAATAGCCACTAAATTACAGTACAGCAAAACTGTATTCTTACAATATTAAACGGTTAATATTCCCAAAACCTCTATTCAGTTGTCACATAATGTTGCTCCTAACCAACAAAAACTAATAAGCCCCAGGGGAAAAAAAACCATATAAAATATATTAAAATGCCCTTTCCAAGCTGAAGGTTGTAAATTTTCAGTCACATCCATGACAGAATTGTTCAAATAAAATATTATTTGCCGAAGGTCCATTAAGATCTCACCAACCTGTGAAACCACTACCATCTGACAAAAGCAACTGAGACAGAAAAATTACCTACCCAAAAGACCAAAACCAGAAAAAGAAATAAACCTGACATTGCTTAGGCCCAGTTCTCACTGAGATGGTAAGCAGTGTTTAAGTTATAACACTTCAGTCTGCATTTGTTGTTGTTGTTGTTCAGTCGCACAGTCGAGTCCAGTCTGCATACAGGGGCTTATATGATGGAACATTCCTCCACATTAAAAAAACAAACCAACCCAGATATAGAAAACTAACATGACAGAGAAAATATCTTCTGACATGCTAGTTTTCTATGTGTATGGATTTCTTTTTTGAGGGGGCTATTTACAGTCTGAAGTGGTAGAAACACAGGTTTACCATCTGAGCCCCTATTCACAGTTTGAAGTGGAAGAAACACAGGTTTACCATCTCAGTGAGAACTAGACCTTAAATGGCTTTGTCACTTGGTAGTTAATATCCGTTTAGATGTTAAACAAGATTAATTCATTGTTTCTCTAGGAAAGCAACACTACAAGCATTTTTCCATTGATTTTATAAGATACCCTTTTCCTACAATACTTATTATGTACATTACTGGAAAAGTGATCTTTTTAAAAAAATTTGCAGCATATGTATTAACAAAACTGATTCCTTTATCATTCCTCTATCTTTTCAAGACAGACTGGGAAAACTTACATCTCTAGCCAATTTTCTAGTTCATTTTGGGCTAAGTTCACACCACAAAAATGTTAAAATCCCTTCAATATTTTGTTAAGAATCATTATGATATCGTTTTGTACAGAGATTATCACAACTGATGAGAAAATAATGGTGGGGCTTGGGAAATCATTCCTTATATTGAATATGGAAAGCTGAACAAGCTAACAGTTATTAGAAGTGCAATCAGCTCTGAAATTCAGATTGTAAGCATGGCAAATGGATGGGGGAAGTGGCAGAGAAGACTTATTCCTATTTTTCAGTCCTTGACTCAAGCAACCACCACCAGCAAAAAGGAGGGAGACCCATAGTCTAACCTGGCAGCAAAAGATTATTCATTAGGAAATTGGTCTTTTTATTAATCTACCACTTAACTCACAAAATTTTCCTGTTTAGAACAAGCACAAGTACAATACTACTATTCAGAATTTCATCATTTGTGTTCTAGACACACACCCCCAATAAATCCTTGGAAAATTACTGGGAAGGATCAACCCCTTTTAATTACATTTTTCCCCACCGAGTTGCTTTCAGGCCTGTTTTTTGAACTGCACCAAGTCCCTTTTCCAGTATTAACTTGTCTAATCACCCCATGCTGTTATGGAAAGATTTTGGACAGCAAATCTTGGCCCCTTCCCCCAGCAGTGTTGAGACCTAGCAAAGTTACTAATACGTCTAAGATTTCCTTCCATGTATGCTTAGAGAATACAGTCATATAAATATAGGCCTCTCATTCCATGGAAATTTTTTTAATGCCTTAGTGACCTACAGTGCAGTCCTAAGCAGTGTTATAACCTTCTAGTAAGTAAAAGAGTAGAACTCTGCTTAGGATGGCACTATTAGTTGCCAAATAACATTTTCACAAGTGAACTAAAACTCCTAAAAGGTTCAAGGCTATTTATTTAAAGCAAGCACTATCCCAAAGCTATTTCTCCAAAGTAAATACTACCTTATATGAGTGAAGAGTATTTGTGCTATAGGCATCTCTGGAGATATCAATGTAGAAAGAGCTAGATCAGTGAACTAACTATACAGGACTGCATTTCTTAGGTAGCATTATACAGCCTACATCACACTGTTCAGGCAACCCAGTGGTTATGAAAGATACTCCTTTCCCATAAAAGTCCCTGCTCTTGCTAGAGTGGTATGGAACAAAGCCACATTTGTAGTTCAAGTCACCTTTGAAAAAGAGACCTGGGAGTGAGAGACATTTAGGTGCTTCCCTAACTAGCCCCCCTCACCAGTCTCTCTTTCTCTGCCCCTCACACACAGTCAAACCTATCATCTATTATTTCCAAGCCTATATTATAGAACCACCATGTGATCTGCCCGCCCCTCCCATGACTTGATATAATTACACTTATTCTGCCTAGACAGTCTTTTTTTGGAAGATACTACATCTAGTTATTAAAGGTTACCACAGCATGCAAACTGAGCCTGGCTTAAAACAGCTTCCAGTCTTCTATATAGAAACAATTTGTGCATTAGCTGTGCCATGAGACATTTTAAACATTAGGAAATTAAAGAGGAATGTTGTTACCTCGCCTTCTCCCATATGTCCTTGCTGCATGTCAAATGAGAAGAAAAACAACCTTTCAAACATTGTTAAAAATACTTCTTCATCTCCTTCATTCTAGCTCCTGTGGTTCTCAAGCCTTAGCATACTGTAGAGGAAGACCACATCAGAAATCTTCCAGCCACTCCCACACCTTTTTGCTTCTGGGAATACGACAACGTGACTGTAGATAGCAAAGAGGTCTCATTTGGAATACTCCCTCTTTAATCACTTTCTGGTCACCGGTGCACTATGTTAAGGATCAACAAATCTATTAGTAATGACTATTTTCCTCATCTAACTAAGATGAGGCGCTTGACTCTGATCTTGTTATCCTATCCATTTCTTAAGCATCAGGCAATTTTATTTCAAAGTACCAATGTACCAATCTGTTCAGTTTGTAATTTACACAGGAAAAACTAACAGGATGACATGGTTACCCTGCAGCCAAAGATATAATGGTTAACATTTAGGGGCCTGATTAACTCTGAGCATAGACCAGCAGCTAGCAAGCAGTTTTGTAAGCATATTAACCATTTGGCTAAACCACTGAAGAGCTCCGAAGATTAGGAAAGGAACAGTAAAGCAAGGTGCTTTCTAGTTCCCTCTAGTTTGTTACTCCTCAGTCTTGACAGGCGAATAAATTGATTGACTGGAGAATAAGTTGCTTCAGTGCTCACCTAGCTTATACCCACAACTAAAGACAATGCCAATGGGGGTGGGTGCAGGAGGAATACAAATACATAGCACCATGAGCTTTTAAGCAACAGCACACCCTTCATGCTCAAAGCAACAGCTGGCTGTGTTACTCTTACCCAAGATTTTGTACTAATTTCCAGAACACAGAATAAGAATTTAATAGTTGGTCCCATATTAAAAGTTCTTGGCACAGTCCTCAACACTAGCTATTAAAGACACCCCAAAAGGTTCGCCTACCATTTAAGCATCACCAACATTAATTCTAAGATTTATTTTTTAAAGAAAATATGTATTTGTTCCATTTAATGGTTTATTGTCCTTGTCCAAGCCTCAGTGTTTTCAATAATTCATCTCCACACAGGACACAGCTTTTGCAGCGGCTGAACTGAGTGCCCAAGTAGATGGTGAGGCTTGCTCTCTTCTGTCACTTACTTCCTCACACAGTCCTTACGTAGGCTGAAAAATGTCCTTCAGTTATACTTCCAGCACAGGAACAAGTTGGGCAAAATCAACAGCATGCTGGGGTTGGGGATGGAGAACACTGTTGTGTGACAGGTGAGTTTAGAATCTCAAGTGTTCATTATCTTAAACTCTACAGATTATATTAGAGTTAAGGTCACAACAGTAATTCCTGCTTAACATCAAGTATTTCTTTGTTTACAAATACAGGCTGCATCTATAATTTCTGAAGGTAAAAAAACATCTATGCTATTCTGCCTTGTGTGTGTTCTTGACAGAAGCTCAAGTGTTTCCAAAGAGTTTCCTGACTAAAAAGGTATAAAATCCTGCTTGTGGTCTGTAACAGCAAACATACAATGTACACCTTTCCTTGTTTGGTGCATTGATGAAACTCATCATCATCAACATAGCTGCAATTCCTACAGAGGCCCATGAGAATGAGGTTAAATTGGCAGACTCGCTGTTCTGTCACTTGTGAGTCTTTACAAGTCTATTTCTGACAAAACCATATGAAAAAATTATAGGCACAGAAGGCGTTCTTATTGCATTTTTCCAAGCTGACTGAAATCCAGATATTGCAAGCTAAACAATCATACTTAACACAAATTTATTCCAGTTAGTAAAATTAAGACCATGCTATTTGGGATGTCTCAAAAACATTTCGGGGGGGAGGAGTGGACTATCCTTATTTGAAGTATTTCAACAAATTTTTCCAATTCAGGCACAGATTAAAGTTTCAATTGCTGGCTGGACTAGACTCAATACTGCTCCTCTATCACAATATTCAAAAAGGACCTTTAACAATGTAAAAGAATACCTGAGATATTTGCTGAAGTGTTTTCCAGTACTTTAATTATTTACCCGAGAGAACATAAGAACATAAGAGACGCCAATGTTGGATCAGGCCAAAGGCCCATCCAGTCCAACACTCTGTGTCACACAGTGGCCAGAAATACCAGTGCCATCAGGAGGTCCAGCAGGGGGGCCAGGACATTAGAAGCCCTCCCACTGTTGACCCCCCCCCCAAGCACCAAGAAGACAGAGCATCACTTGCCCCAGAGCCCCTAGCTATACCTTGTGGCTAATAGCCACTGATGGCCACTGAATAGCCACTGAAGTATGCTATTCTACAAATTCCCTAATTCAGATTAGGTTCAGAGATGCTTTTTGTCACAGAAGTGACCCAGAAACA